TAAACCGGTGCAACAGGTCAGTGATGTCATCTGCTGCTGCAACCCCTCCATAGCAGTGTCATTGATCTTACAAAAACACAACATTGTGCACTTGCAGTGGACCAGTGGCTACTCCACAGAGAGCTTTCTGAGATGACTCAATCCATACTAACCTATAATCCTGTTTTGACATAATATCTAACACACACAGACAGACACATACACACCACATGTGGTTCACTGGTTTTGTAGGACACACTTATAGCTGGTATTTAAGTTCAGATTTGTCAGATTTGGATGAAGAATGCCATAGGTGAGCCTGACGTCAAAGGAACGGCAGTGACGCACAGCGCAGTGGGACTGAATTTGTCTTCTTATCGTTACATCTACAGATAATTCGGATTTAGTTTGTTTTTCCTCAAGTCACATTAGATTTTATCTCATCATGTCTTTAGAAGCTCTGGGAAAAAACAGTTACAGCAATATCAAAGATGTATCAGCAAAATGTACCCCACTTCTAAATATGTTATGTCCTAATCTGTTTAAATGGGCTTTAATAATTCTGGTAGAAAAGTGGTAAAAACACATTAGTGATTAGCTTATTTATGTATAGTATACTGTATATGCATACAAATAAACAAGTTGGTTAATATAGTGCATATTACAGAAAAGAAAAAGAGATGTTTGAAAAATGTCAATATAGAGCAAATTATTGTCAATAAAAGCAAACTACAATTAATATTAAACTAGCATGTTGTTAAATACATGCGATGTACATTTATGTTTTATTGTCCCTTTCAACCATTTTACAAGCATGTTTAAACACAAAAATGTTGTTTGAATATTGATATAATATACAGATTTTTTTTCTATGTTCTTTCTCTGCCTATATATCATATCGATATTGGCAGACATTCAACACGTGCCCTCCAGTACAACATTTCACTCAGTAGGCTTCTATTGCAAATGCTCTAAATTCAAAACACCTAAATGGACTTTAATCTTATCTTGTTTTTTCGCCCAATCCTTCCATCTCCAGATTAAACCAATTGTCTGATAACTCTGCCTTTATCTCCCTTCGCTGCGGGGCATACAAATTGAGTGGGCCATTCACACTATTTTCTTGCCATATCGTTCACATTTCTACTAAATATGAGCTCTGATATGATTTTCTATCGGATCAACTGAGCATAACATTACAACTGTTCCATCTTCAGTACTTGCTGGGTTTCGTTTTAATTGGAAAACACCTCAGGATATAGCTAACAAAGACACGGATCACCGCAGACACTACACTGCTGTTTAATGTCCTTCATGGTACTGAACGCAATAGAAATCACAACTATCTCATTTATGTCCCATGAAGATGCATTTACAAACTTAATATCAAACACAACTGGAATAGGTGGCTTTTATTATATTGACTGTGCATTTCACAAGAGCTAAAAACCATTGACCTATACAGCATCTTCATTTTGGAGATCTTCATGTGGTGCACCATCTAATGCTAATGCTTCATATGCTATAACATCGCAAAGTGTATTTTAATACTTTATAATTTACACCATTTCACAAGGTATTCAGTTATATGCTCATTATGCTGAATCGCCTTCAGATGAGTTCATTATTGTTGAATCTATTCCGTCTGTTCAGAAGTGCCTTGTCATTTAAGACACCACTCATTAGCAAGTCCCTTAATCTAGACTTGTTGCGTCAACTAGTCATATCATCAGTTCATATAGGCATTCCAGCTGTGGTCAAGCCACATTTGGGACACTTTCAGGACTTTGTTTGAAGATTTTTCCATTAAGCTCTGAATACATACGTATATTTACATGTTTGATAGAGCATTCTGTTGATGAATAGTACATACTATCATTTTAGTTAATACACATTGTGCTATTTATAATACTAACATGTATTCTAAGTGAAACACAACATGATTAAATACAATTTAAGCTAAGGTAATGTACCCTTTTAGAGTGACTAGGACAGTGCAGACCAGGGGCAGAGAGCACCAGCTGGAACCTGGGGCCCTATGTTGATCTTCAGCTAGGTCAGGACAAGGGCTGTAAAGTTATTGATTAATCGCAACTAACCAATAATTGATGTAGTAGAACTTAGTATTAGTTGTTCTCTGGGCCAAATGTATAAACAAAAAAAACATGATCACTGACCTTTCAGAACTTAAACAACTTGTCAATTGATCAAAAGAATAATTGATTATAATAATAATCCATACTGACATTCTCTAGTCAGGACCGTCGCTGCAGGATTTTACCAAAAGTGCATGTTTTGGGTCAAACTGGGGGAAACCACAGAAGACTAGCCTGAGATAGGTCGCAAAAAATATACATATTTTAGCTATCATTTATTGAACTATACGTCAATATATTGATCATTATAAGGTGTTGAGTCCAGTTCAGGCATGAAGCGGTTTGGCCCTGTTCTTATCCTGATTCCAGGTTTAAGCCCCAAGACATTTTGTGAAGTGAGTAATACCTTTTCATTCTCAATCCCTGATCTCATTTCCAAAAAGGTTAAAAGTATTTCTTCTTTCAACAAAGTTTATTCTGCTTGTTGACCTTTGAAGAACAAAAAGATTTCACCCACAAGCGTTACACTGGCTGCCCGCCCAATAATGAGACATCACGACTGCGGAGTCCCCCTAGCAGCAGCAGCAGCAGCAGCAGCAGCAGCAGCAGCAGCCCGACCGCCACTGTCTGTACGGAGCTGACGTGATCGTGTCATCATTGATCGGCCCGCTGTTAAACTGCACTGACACTTTCACAAATCCATTGGGCATGCAGCCCAAGGGAAAGCAATCTCAGCACGGACACACAAGCTCCCGCAGCCCCGCAAGGTGAGGGGCAAGGGGGCAGAACCAGACTTATCGCTGCTCAAGTCTCCTCCAAATCGCATTAACCAAAGCCTAGTCCGATCAAGATTTGGGAACGCACAAAATCCAGTAAACAGTCTAATCGGCCCATCTAAAAGCGACTTGAGTTAATTATAAGGGAATGTCGTGACGTACGTGAACTAGATTATTTTCTTACAAGCCAAATATCTTGACAGAAATCTCACATGATGAGATGAAAGGTACTTTCAAAATATAATAATTAAAGTGTCTAGAGATGTTTTAGGGGAAAAAATTATGACAGAAGATATCATGACAGAAGACTGAATGAATATAGATATAGAAACCAACCAATCTGGGATTTTTTTTTTTTTAAATCAATGTTTGCATGGTGGCTAACAAGTATTTGTCATGTTAAAATACCGATTACATGTATTGTGGCTGTCCTTCAAGTGTTTGTGACAAGTAATAACTGCAGTACGAAAAATAAAAGATGCACACCACCTGGGAAATGCTGATGCTTAAGTTAAGTTAAGTTAACAGTATAATAGAAAATGTAATACATACTTAGGATTTTATATTATTCAGCTTGTTTGAAAAAGACGCAATAAGAACTATATATATAGCGGACCAGAGTAAATAAATAAATTCAATATAAAGGGATACACCTTATGAACTGATATTTTATATTTATTTGACATTTAATATTTTGGTCAAACACAAACACATTGTAACAGTTATAAACTCTCATGTGCTAACCCTCTGCTGCATAGGGCTGGGGACAGACTCATCGCTCAAAATGTCCACAATTTACAAAATAGTTTTTATAGAGAAAGCCAGTCCTTTTGAAGGGTTAAGAGAAACATAACTACTCAAACATTATAGTTAAATGTGTGTCTTTTTTAACATAATAAATGTGCCTTTGCTCAACCTTTAATTTAAAATTTAAATAAATTGTGTAAATACCTCTGAGAATAATTGTATTGGTTAATTATTAAACAAAGACATCATATCAATTTAGTTCCGGTCCAATTCTCTGAGGTCCAGTTCTACGTCAGAACACCGAGCTCTTGTAAACATATTTCATTGTTCATTAAACATTTCCAGTGTGCCTTCATTTATCTGTCACCGCCACATTAGGCATCCATTTTCCTCTCGGTCTGCGCGCCAGTCGCCTCCCACCGATAATGGGAAAAGATTATGCACATTCATTACCATTATCATTAGAATCATCATTATCCGCCGCTTTGCATAATAACACAATTGACAATTTTAGCTGTCAAGACTTTTGATTTTTGGTCTGGCTTGTCATACTTGCCTTTTGATTTAGGCCTATTTAATGGGTAACTCCCAGTCAAAATATTTGCTTGAACGCTGCAGGGCTGAATCAACTGGTGTCCAATTTAAAATTATAACTTTTGTTATGTTGCTGTTAACGTTTGTTAACAGCAAGATTAACTTTTTATTTTATTTGAGAGAGATATGTTTGCGTTTTAGTCGAGCAGGAAAAGAAATTAAAACAAACTATACCTCATTTAATATATATCTGATTTAGCAGAACTGTAGTCAAATACTAATAACTGTAAAAGGGATAAGATATTGATAAGTTTTTATCATGGCTAAAGTATCAAATTAAAACTTCTTATGTCACGAATGGTCATGATTATAATAAATGCCAGTTGTATAAGAGTAAAAAAAAACATGCGTAAGTAGCCTATTCTGATACATGGGACCTTTTCTTTTATCCTAAAAGATTGTTTTATTGTCCTCTTCCTAATCCAATGCTACCGTTTCATCTTTGAATTGAATCATATACATCCAAAATCCCCTGAGATAATTCCGAAGGATGACAATTTTACAACATTATTTTTTTTACCTCAATTTGAAACCTTCACAAAGAAAGAGTCTACAGTTTAAATATTGGCACACACTGGTGCAGATGACAACTATGTGTTTTTAAATCCTTTGGGAAAATGTGCAATGGAAAGAAATGAAGTGGTTGAAATGTTGTATGTACAAAACCAGACAGAGCACTTCATAAAAAGATGCAATTCAACAGGATGTATAATGGAAAGAAAAGGCATATTTCCCAGATTACTTACTACTTCTGCAACTTTTTGGGGAAATTAGTAACAATCGTTAAAGTGTATTCAAAAGGACTAACCTGTGAAGTGCAAAGGCAGAGCCAGGAAATGCGCCGGAAAGATACTGTTGAGTCCGTATCCGTACCCTAAAGGTTTTGAACAACTGATCGCATGTCTCCTGTGAGGGCTTCTTATATCGGCACACCCCTTCCCTCCTGGCTCAGCCTCCAGTGCACCCTCCCTCTCTGCCTCCCCGCACACATCTCCACAGACCGGCTTCGTTCTCATAGGAGGAGGAGGGAGAGGACTAGTGATCCCCCGTACAGGCAAAAGAAAAATAATCCAGTCACTGCTTCGTGACGTAGAAGAAATCCTGCCTACGCCACCCGTTTGCTGGGGCGTCTAACGAAGCACTAAAAATACACTTTACGGGAAACAGCGTTAGACAGGTCCAAATCGAGAATGGGCCGCATAGGTCAGCTGTGTGCGGTAGGCCCAATCACGGTTTGGTTTGAGTCATGGTTTGAAAGAACTTATCAGGCTCCAGAGAGAACATATGAATTTTCTAAGTTACAAAAGACCAATATATTTAACAACGTGATCTTGAACAACGTGACAAATTCTGGCTGGAATAGACTTTCATAATTGAGGCCCATGATTTAGCGTATACCAAAGTCAGTGAGGATTCCAATGAAAACTACTGTTGATGAATACTGTTTTTTTCTTATAAGTTATATGTTTGTGAGTGTTTTGACCATGGTAAAAGTGGATTAATACTTACTTAATGGATGCATGTTTAATCAAGATTTACAGTTAATACCGCCTTTGTCTTGACTCGAGAAAAAAAACCTTTACGGACGTATACATACCTAAAAATACATACAAACCCACAAAGGACAAAACTGAGCAAACCATGCTTGCATCATGCTATTAGTATATCCATCCATCCATTTTCTTCCCCTTAATCCATTTCTGGGTTGGGGGGTGGCAGTCAGAGGTGCACCCAATTCAGAGCACCAGCCCCTCACTGATCCTCCTGTAGGTGGTGAGTACACAGGAGGATGGCTCTGTCTGACAGCACAGCCTTGGTCTTTCAGTGGGGGCTTCAGGCAAAGTAGGGTTAAGTGTCTGGCTCAAGGACACAAGGACAGCAGACATGAGTGGGAGTCATGAAGTAGGTCTCGTGGTGGGATTGAGCCCATGACCTTCAGCCTCAAAGCCAATGCTCTACCAACTGAGCCACTGTCTCCCGCTGTTAGTATAGTTTTTTACTATTACAATAGTTGTAATAACAGCACATTTATTATCATCATCATTTAGAAAAAAAATTGGTAACTCAGATATTATCTCATTTATATCTGAAAACATCTTACATCTAATTTAATCATGCAATACTGGACTTTAAATGTATTTCAATGTGTGCACAGGAAAAGTTGTACGCTTTATTTATGTAAGTTTGTCTTTTCAGTTTTAAATATATTTACAGCGAGATATTCCATACACACACAAAAGTGTTGTCTGTGATGGAAGTTGCAATAACTGAAGATCAATGGACAAAATCTGCTGTTTGTTGTAAACTGGTGGAAACTCAGATGTAGAAGATCAAACATGTTTGAGAAATAGTGCTGTGAAGCACCTGTACCACAAATATTGCACATTTAAGTTGACCTAAGAGTGCTTAAGTTTTCCATTACTAAACATTTGCTTACATGTGCGGAATCAGTTGCCTAGTGACAATGTTTGATTGCACTGTCCCGCCCAAATAGATAAATAAATAAATAAATAATTAAAATGGCAACACAACCATAGGTTTGAGTACAGTAGGGTATCAGGTCAAGAGGATTTGTTCTGATTGTTTCTGCACACTTTCCCAATTTCTATGCGGTGCCTTACCTAACCTGGACCGCAGCTCTAGGGGATTCCTGCAGCTCCGAGCACAGCAGCAGCAGAGTGCGATCAGGTGTGACGCTGCGGTGAGTCACAACAAGGAAAACAAGACACCGTTCCTCAGAGATCTGCTTCCAACCTCCAAAGCTCCACAGAGGACTCCGCAGGACACACGGCTTCTTACACTGTACAAAAACAACTGTTAAAAGACTTTAGTATTTTATGAGGAAGTACTTGAGCCGCGACACAAAGCTCTCTGTCTACTTACCATTTTAGAAGTGGTTGAAACGTGTTTTGTCCATTTAGGATATTGTAGGAAGAAGCTCTGAGTAGAGTCACTGCTCTACTGTTTCAGGTAAATGATTGGAGTCAGTCTCAATGTCCATCCATCCATCAATTTTCTACCCCTTAATCCATTTCTGGGTCGAGGGGGTGGCAGTCAGAGATGCCACCCAAGTCTCATAGCACCAGCCCCTCACTGATCCTCTGCAGGTGGTGAGTCCACAGGAGGACGGCTGCTCTCTGAGTGTGAGCAAAGCCTTGATCTTTCAGCGGGGGTTTTGGGCAAAGTGGGGTTAAGTGTCTTGCCCAAGGACACAACGACAGCAGACATCAGTGGGAGTCGGCGGAGAAGGTGTCGAGGTGGGAATTGAACCCACAACCTTCAGGCCTAAAGGCCAATGCTCTGCCCCCCAGTCTCAACGTAAGCGATAATAACATCCCCAAAAAAGTGAACCATGTGTCTTTTGCTTCACTTCACTTCCAACATACAATACAATAATAACATTATTATTATTGTATTATTATTAAATAAATACAGTGGAATATTCCAGATAAAGCAGTGCTTCTCAAATAGTGGGACCCGCCCCCCTGGGAGACGTAGTGCAATGTGTGTGACCCTGCGCTACATGCTTTTTTTGTGTGCCGTATTTGATAAAGTGCAATTGCACATCCACTACAGTAGTTGACAGTGGCACGCTCACAGACAATTAAACTATGTTCTAAAATCCATGTAACTGTTCCCTCACACTCAAAATAGATTTGGTTATATCAATAGTTTTCACACGCATGTCAGCTTTTTCAGACAGGAAAGTGAAAAAAGACATTTTCACAGAAAAGTGAAAAAAACATTTTACTTTCTGCGGAAAACTACTCTACTACTACTGTGCGTGATGTCAAAAACAATGACATCATACTATTACAGGACTGTGAACTTATAGACAGTCACGTGTTTGAGCCATTAAAGTTCTTGATTAGCATGGATGAATCTAAAAACAACTACAGGTCTGTGAACAATGATGAGGGAACAATGTTTATAACATGATTAAACACTCATAACAGTAGATTTTGCATAATCATAATAAGTCTCCTTTATGGTCTAACACCCTTATTGACCACCTGCACTTCTGACTGTAATTTCTAATCAATCCATTTTCTGTGATGTTTAACCAACACGACTGTACTTTACACCACTGGTGATAGAATGATTTGTGATGTCACATAAATGCAACCTATGGGCTACAACCCTGACCAAGATGACAATTAGCTGACAATACCCATTTAAAGAGCCCACTTAAACCTCTGCAAAGGCCTTTCTCTCCCCCTCTCTGCCGCTGTGGGCTGGTGCTGACGTCTGTCGCTGTAGCGGGTCAGATAGTGAAGCTGAATTGATGCGGACGGGGAGACAGGAGGGGGGCTGAAAGCTCCGTAGATAAGAAGCGGGTGAAACAGGCAGCTGTGGAGGGGCCTGTCTGTCAGCGATACGGCCCAACTAGAGCACAAAGAAGTCTGATTACCGGCATGACATAAGAGCGCTCTTAACTTGACGCCGCGACCCGTTTAAGTGCCAGAGGTGTGCCGTGCCGAGGTGTGATGCCCGTTCTGTCTGTGACATAAAGGAGATGTTCTATTGAATGCGGGCTCAATATTGGCACAGTAAAATAACAAGAGGCAAATTAAGGCTGTTTGCAAAAGGATGCATGCAAGGAGTGCTGCTAATTATAATGTGGGAAAGGTCAAATTAAACTGGATAGACAATACAGAATGTTTTGTTTTGTAAGACACAACGTTTCAGATTGTGTTTGTGTTAATGAATGCAAAGCCCACATGACTTCATTTAGATACTTGAAAACAAGTGATGGCGAATATTCATCATCATTGAAAGTAATCAAGATGAAGAATAAGACTTGTGTGATTGTTTCTATCTTGTTTTGTTAGGCACTATGAGTTGCCTTGTGTATGAACTGTGCTATACAAATAAAAATGCCTTGCAGACATCGTTGGCCATGTCATTTTAATCACTACCAGGATGGTAAACTGAAGCCTTGTGTGGAAAATAGTCGTGTTCCAAGTTGGGCCAAAAATAATAACGTTATCTGCAGCTTTATGTGCCACAAATTAAACTCCATTAATTGCTTCCTGCAACTCTGGTTGTGATCAAGAACAAATAATAATGCGATCCTGAACAGGTACAAAGACTCAGAAGTAACTTTCCTCCAAACATGTAAAACTTATTGTGTTTGTAATGTTTGTAATAGTACAATTTCATGATTATAACTCTTGTAAATTTCTTGCAAGTCTTGTGATAGTAATACATCATGCTCTCAAATAAAACACATTTATAGTCAACTATATGGTATTTGTTACAGACACATAAATCCAACGTGAGTTTCTCCAATTTTGTTCAGCCTACCCTTGCAACAATGTCAACTCGTAAGCGATCACTTTGTGCAAGCAATAAATAAAACATTTCATTCTCCCCTAAAACTGCCTGCCATAATTTTTTGCATAGAAAATGAATTATAAAAGTACTCAGGAAATATGCTGCATCTACCCCCTAAAAACTGTCCATGGAGTTTGATTTGACTGCGTAAGCATTCAGCGAGACATACATCAGTGTAAATCAATGACATTACACTGGGTGCTGAACAGCCAGATGTAAAGAGTATTTCACAACTTGTAGTGCACACACATTTACAAGAGATTATTGTAAGTGGTCCATTTAAACCTATTAAAACCCATATTATCATTACTATTAAAAAAGGCTGTTCCGGTCAAATGTGTTTAATCAAATTGGTATTGTTGTCTAAGTAATCATGTGCATTTCATCAGTGCATGTATTTTTCAAATGGTCCTTTAAACAATATTTAGAATAGCTATTTTTACGAATTGTGCAACACAAATTAACTTTGATTGATTAATTGAATTTTAAGACAAAGCACTTATGTATAACTATTATATGTAGTTATTTCAAAAATTATGGTTTTAGGCATATCCTTAAGTTTAGAAGGCTAAATAGATTCCATTTGAGATAATCTGTCTAATAATGTCTATATTTCTGCCCAAACTGGAAAAAAAATCTAAAACCCCAAACGTATGATTTACCTATATCTTGGTTTTCCCTCACAAAGCTGCTAAGTGCACAGTTCACACAAATCTCCATTAGTACAGTTACCTGCTGCGAGCGTCTGTGTAATATTGTTTTCTCTTTGCGGTGCTCATGATAGACCTCCTCTGGATTAAATGGAGGGGCTCTGACCTCAATCAAGAAAATAATTACTGTAGTCCCTCCTGTTGGCAGCTTCCATAATTAGCCAGCGAAGCCCCCACTGAAATACAATTAGCACAATACAGAGGTGATTAAACTATCATTCTTATTAGACACATTAACATATTTTTGGTGTCGCCTTAAAATGTTCTCACCCTGGTTCCCACAAGAGATGACGTGCAGTAATTTCCCAGTCAGTCAGTGGCCTGCGATGTAGATCTTGGAATCTGTCAAAGAGAATGAGATATTGTAATAGAACAGAGGGCATTTGCGTAAAGATAAAAACGAGTGGACTGTGACTGGATCCATCTCCCTGCAGTAATGAAGAGGAGCGTGGTAGATAAAAAACCTGGGCATCAAATATCACACAAGCTTTGATATAAACTCCCTTTTTACAATGTACTGTGTATGAATGTTTTATCTTTTAAATAAACACTTGCAATTATTGACACTATAACGATTTAACAAAAATAAAAATCGTCAATAACTTAATAATCGTCAATAACTCATGCAGATGAGTAGATCTAATGGGTTGAAATGAGACTATATGGGTTCAAACAAGGACACTTTGAAATAATTTATTAACTAAACAAATCTTATAATTGAGCTTATAAAAATAAGTCCAATGGCTACTGAATTCTGATATGTATTGTGTATTACCCTAGATCTCAAACTTGTATAAAATTAGCCTTGTGTTATGTTAGGCAAACAACGAAATAGAGCTCGTCGAGCCAAAATGCCATGGATGAAGACAGAAAATAATATACTTAGCTGATAATATGGACACAGCTAAATTATAGTTTCGTGAAATAGTTTATACAGACTTTAGTTTGTGCGAATCATCCATGAATCTGTCGGACCCATGGATGTATTATATGGTCGGACCACGGACCATGAGTCCACACTGCAGCGCCACCTGTTGGTTTCGATTTATATTCCCGCTGCTTGTGAGGTAAACGGTTTATATATTTTGTAGAACTGCTGCAAAATGTTACATCTATCTTATATATAAATATAAATAAGTGCAAGTTTTTTCAGAAATTAAAAATCCGTTTATCTTATCAGTAGGCGGGAGTTACACAATTCGAATCAAATTACAGCCAATGGCAAATAGGTTTTGTATTTGGAACGCACCGGCAGCCAATCACAGAGCTTGTTGGATCAAACGCGGGACGTTCCGATTTCGGATACGGAAGTGTGTGATCGCTGCTGGTTTGTTGTGCTTTTTGTGTTTTTTTTTTTTTTTTACAAATCCCGTTAATTCTGCAATAGCACGTATTTATCTCGTGATCGTTGCATGTAATCGAACTCGTTTGTATCTCCGTCATGTCGTGTTGTATTTAGACGTGTGTCCTGCTTGCATAAAGTCTTAAGTAAGTAGCAGAAGCATTTATTGTTTCGCGTTCTTTTATATTTCCGTCATGGTAACGCCAAGTAACTAGCTACGCTGTATGCGTGTGTAGTGATTGTTTGGATGTCTGTATTGTGACCCTATATGTTGATGCTTTTTGTTTTATGACTTTTACTCATAGGCCGTTTATCAGGAGGTTTATTGTCAATGGCTGTGACGATATTAAATGATTGAGTTACGGTTGATGAAAGAGGGATTCTTATTTATTTACTTTTTAAACTAAACCTACCTACCTAACTACCTAAACTGAACTATATGGAATAAGTCTGGTTATTATGGCACAATACATCTACTCTGTAACTAATTTTATAAAATCAAAGATGATAAAGCCAAACCATGTTAATAGAGCTGTACTTACATAGGTTACATCTTGATCTTGGGTCCTCAGTCATAGAGCAATAGTTACAACCTGCGTCTACCCCCTCTCAAAAAGCACTAAACTAAGTTATACATAATGTGATTAATAAACTCTACTTAAAAACGCTGTTTTACAAGAACCCCTCATTTACGCGGTCCATTAGTGTGTAAAAGTCCATTTGAGAAGGGAAAAGGTTGGATACAGTGACTGTCATAGAGCATTGCTGCTTTGAAACATATGCTAACAAATATATTGTGCTTACAGCCTTACGACTTGTGTGATAAATGGAGGAGCTCTACACTTTAGAGAGGGAAGTTGGACGTGGCAGCTATGGAATTGTCTTCGAAGGTCAGATGTCCAAAACGGGACAAAAAGTGGCCATTAAACGATTGCCCTGCAGCAACCCAGAATGCATCGAATTGTACCTCCAGGAGCTTTGGGCCATGAGAGCTACTGCTAAAAACCACAAAAATGTCATTGCACTTCATAACTGCCTGCTCCAGACTGGACCAAGGAGTCTCAAGCCATTACGACCTGGTAAACTGCCTGGATGCTTAGTAGAAAGTGTCCTCAAAGGGGCAGTAGTTGGACCAAAAGAAAATCAAGAGCCAACTAAGAAGAATTCCACACAATCTAGTAATTTGCGGACAACCAAAACTTCTGCATCCAGACTCCAAGACAGGACCAACACAACACAGAACAAGTCTAATAGCGATGCTCTAACTCCACAAAGACCAGGAAAAAGGGCACGGAAGAGGTCTGCGTCTGAAGAGGAAAGTCAGAGCTCAACATTGAAATTCCTAGCGCTTTGGCTGGTGATGGAATATTGTGATGGTGGGGACTTGAACCAGTTTCTCCTGTCCAAACCTCCAGATGAAGAGCAGAATCACAGTGTAGTGCTCCAGCTCTCCAGTGCCATTTGTTTCCTTCACCAATTGGGGATCACTCACAGAGACCTGAAGCCCGCCAATGTATTGGTGTGTGTCACAACCAAAGGACCTGTGGTGAAGGTATGTCTGTTGGCTTTTAACCCTATAAGTTTCAGTTTGCCTTTTACAGATTGTTGATTTAATTGTGGCTCGTGAATTATTAAATGTTTAAAACTCGTAACATAATTATTACCTGTTGCAATATAGACTGTAAAACGCATGCAATAAGAATTTTTACAGTCTATGGTTTGTATAGAAATTACAGCTGCATTATTAAATAAGAATGTCAAACAGAATTACAATAAATGTTTGATGACTACTTGTACATCATACTACTTGTACTTAAACATATAGATGGAGCAAATCTGACCCTTTCCATATTTCTATTTTACATGAAAAAATATTTATCTGATCTCGACTACTATGAGAAAAGCATATTTTTTAAGTTGTTGTAGTGCATGCCATCCGCAAGATTTAAAATCCATGTGATTTTGCATATTAGTGCGCAGTTGACACATCAATTTTACTGCACAGCAAAACTAATTGAAAAGATTCAAAAGAAAATGAGCTATAGTTAAAAGTCTAAAAGATTATATGCTCTACTTTTGAATCTAAAAATAATGCTTTTGTTTTGGTAGTCTCTTTATGCAATGCATCTGGAGCAACACCACAATACCCGAGGGGGCATCAAAACACTCCTGAATCAACTCTTCCCATGTTTGACATATAAGATCTCCTATAATCGCATCACAGACGAGGCTCATTATGTGTGTGTGAATACCTTAATTAGGTTTTCTCCCAAAACTGTACTGTAGCCCTGTTAAAAAGTGAATAAACTTCTGCCACATTTCAAATGTTTGCTATGTGTATAATATTATATTAGTGATGCATAGTACTTGTACGGGGTTCTTTTTTTTTTTTTTCATGACGGCCAAAGATGTTTCACATTGTGTTATTCATTCACTTGCTACTAAAGCCACAACTACTCTGAGTAGTCTGAGGCTACCTGTTTGTGCCATTGCCCCCTCCAACCACCACCAACCATACACACACCTACCAGACTCTGCAAAGTGTCCTGTCTCAGGACACAAGGGCATTTTGGCACTTTACAGTCGCAGTCACCCCACCATGGCCCTGAACAGCTAAACCTGACAGTCTGACAGAATCAGGCTTTCACAGCATGGTTCTTACAAACTATTGTAAAGCCAATTTAGATTCACAAGGAGGCAAGCTTTGATGATGTGACAATTGCAAAACTTTTCAGAACTGGCCAAAAACAGTTTTGTACTTTAGTAATCAATACTGATAATAACAGCAATGTTGAAATAAATACATGACCTAAGGGAAATGTGTGTTTTATTACATACTGTGAAGCTTAAGCCTTGCAAATTAAAGTACAAAGAAATTCTGGGAAAAACTATATTCTTCAGTACAAATGTTAAGGCAGCGTAATAACTCCTAACCAAATTAGACCTGCATTGTTAGGTTTTCACGCTGTCTTCTGAAAAGCCTTTGGGGTGTAAATCTTCATCCTGAAACTTAGGAGGTCGAGGTTAGATTTCACAAACCCAACTCCTTTTGTTTATATCTTTTATGGATTAACCTATAAAACGGAAAAAGTGAAACTGAAGTTTGAAGTGGAAACAAATTCTAATCTACTAACGGTAACCTTTAATATTATGTGCTGCAACAGTATCATATTCTAGAAATTAAAATATGCATTCAAACAAAAATAATCTTTAGTGACAGCCATATTTGATATAAGTTTAAGGTAAAAGTGAAGTAAGTATTATTTGCGTCTTTTAAGCAAACAATGGGTGGTGCAGTGGTTAGCACTTGCTTTTCAGGAAAAGAAGAATCCTGGCGACAACAGGGCCTTTGAGTGCAGTTTGCATGTTATCCCTGTATGTGTTCCTCTTGTCAGACTTGGCTACATCCAAAAATCACAAAATACTTACTGTTTCAGACTTTTTCAATTACAGTTGGATAAAATGATGCCATAACCAGGATTTTTTAAACAGGACAAGATAAGATGGTATAGGATAAAGAAGGGGGTATGTGTTATGTTGTAACCCTTGTCCCTGTGTCTGTCTTTAGGTGGCAGACTTCGGGCTCAGCAAGATGGCAGAAGGCACGTTGGCTGGAGACCTCTGCAGACAGCACTTCTCCTCGACCTGTGGCTCGGACTTCTACATGGCACCCGAGGTGTGGGGAGGACAGTCATACACAGCTCAGGCAGACATCTTCTCCCTTGGGGTCATGTTCTGGGCCATTTTGGAGAGAATCACCTTCTTGGAGGAGGGCACCACAGAAGAACAGCTGGGTAAGGCAAAAGGATGTAATAATGCTCTCTAAAAAAAGAATATTATTTTTTTTCTTTCTAGGCCTAAAAGATTTCTCAGACTAACTTTGTAGCTGTCAAACCTGACTTAAATATCACTGAGTAATGTCCTTTTTTAAGAAGCAGGTATTTTGACTCATCCATCCATCCATCCATTTTCTACCCTTTAATCCATTTCTGGGTCAGGGGGGTGACAGTCAGAGATGCCACCCAAGTCTCATAGCACCAGCCCCTCACTGATCCTCTGCAGGTGGTGAGTCCACAGGAGGACGGCTGCTCTCTGACTGTGAGCATAGCCTTGATCTTTCAGTGGGGGCTTTTGGGCAAAGTGGGGTTAAGTGTCTTGCCCAAGGACACAACGACAGCAGTCATCAGTGGGAGTCGGTGGAGAAGGTGCAGAGGTGGGAATTTTGACTCATCCCTTTTAGAGTAAATGTTAAGATTTTTGAATACAGATTTATAGCAGAAGATTGATGTAAAAACTGCCAAAGCTTTTCACATCCAAAAGTCAAAGATGTTAAATGTCAACAACACCAAGAAACATGACAAAACCCTCTGCAGACTGCATATTTATCTAATAACTGAAGTAACTTACAATAGGGCTGTAACTGACCATTATTTTGATAATTTATTAATCTAGCAATTCTTCATTCTTATTCTTCATTAATCTATTTGTTATATATGAAAAAAGTTATTCAACTCAATTTAATCCAGATAAAGTTGAAGTGAAGCAATAGCCAGAATGGAGTTAAGTTAAACCAAATTAAATAACTCAATCAACCCTTTTGAAAATGAATTTTGAAATGTAAATTGTGAATTGAGGCAAGGATAATGTGAGAGTTGGTGGTCAAGTCAGAACGTGAGTGCAAAAAAAAACAACAGTAGTCCATAAAGAATGGCGTATTTTCACAAAATGTCAATGTTGGTTAACATACTTTTTAAAACGTTACATATTACTGTTTTGATTTTATTTATTTTTTATAATAAGTTACACTACTTGGTAACAGCAGTGTAACCAAGGAAGTAACTGAGTTGCATTAATTTGGGATAAATTTGTCGTTGCTCCATTTTGAATCTGCATTTGCTTGTTTAACCTGTTTGAGTATTTCTTCTAATAACTTATTTTCAAAGTAATGTGTTACACTTACTCAAAAAAGTGATCCAATTACATTAACTAATTATTTCATGGAGTTCCACCCAACACTGGAAAATATGCTTTAGATGATTTAAATGAAAATATGATGTATTTGAAATAAAAAATATTTAATTATTCTTTGATATTATGGTAATTGCTCAAAGGGGGTAATCAAATTAAGATTTGCCCTAAATGGGCCAGATAGTTACTATAGTTACTGATCTGAGTCACATCACAGCACCTAAAAAGAGTATATATTTAGTACTTGTTATAGACCTTAGTGTTTAGCTATTTTTTGTCCTTTTAAATGCATTGTATGTATGAAAGACATAAATTCACCAACATAACTTTTAAGTGTTTTCATTCAGATATAGATTAATTGAAAAGAGAGCAGTATTTTGGGACATTAACAAGCGAAAAGTGTTCTTGCATCAAAAAGTAACAACTGAAGTCAAAAGCATCACCTCCTATTCCCTAAAATACTTCCTGGATATGCTGCTGTAGCATTTCAAAGATGTGGGATCTTCACAACTGGTGCGCTCATGTCTGAACTTTGCGGTTACGTTTTTTTAACTGGATTTTTCCCCTTCTACAAACCACATCAATTAATTTCCAATCTGCCTGAAGATGGAGTGCAAAATGGTCCAAATGGCAGTGGGACAGGTGTGTGACGTCAGTCTGCAATTAGCGACAGCATATTAAAAGTGTCACATACTATACATCATAGAAGCTCAACAAAGGGATAGAGCAATCATAAATCTAAATGTCACTGCGCTGAATGGTGATTTATGTGCTGTACATTTGATACTGATATTACAGACCCGGCTGGTCCTGATGCAGGATGATAGAGTGCAGTGAAGCATTCACTGTCCAAAAGCCCAAAGGAATTTTAATCTTTGCTCTGAATTCAAATTTTCTGGCAATTTTTGGGAGCCTTTGGGTGTGAATAACTGTCTATAAACATAGTTTGTCTAGCATCCGAGGAAAAGTGGGGGCAAGTATCAAATGTGCATGCTAATTTTAGGGACAAGACATGGGTCAAAAACTAGTATTGGGTAGAGCGTGAAATTAAAATGCCACAATATCAAAACCTTTGGGATGGACAGTAATTACAAAGATTGTTCTTTTGTCTTTTTGTGGGATAAAAATCTATCTGTCATGCTACAAAGGATAACTACAATAAACATACAGCAGTTGGATGGCCGTGTGCCTTTATACAGGTGAAACTTGAAAAAGCTCATTCGTTTCAGTAATTCAATCTACACAGTGAAATATTCTGATTTTCCAAGTTTCACCTGTAGATATTTTCTTAATTGGTGACCCTTTGGCCAAATTTTCTTATCTGGGAAGTTTGTAGAGAACATGCTGCTTTTAATTTGTTCTCAGATTTATGATAATTTAATAATATGGTTGTATTGTAGAATTTTTGATCTTGTTAATTACAATTTTGAGACTACTACCACCCCTAATGGTCACTAGTTGGATATCCCCACAGCAATTAGAAAAGATAGAAAAAATTAAGTTAGGAAAAATCATCAAAATTCAGCAACAAAGAAAATGTTTTTGGTATTTTTTAAGCACTGTGGCAGATCAATTTGACCCAAGAATTGCACAAGGGCTAGAAGTCCTTTACCTACTTACTGTGAATATAAACAATCTATATAATCTTTATTATGGAGACAGTAACCGGCTTGACAGACAGAATAGGAAATGTGTCTCTGTGATGGGGAGAAGTGTGGACTCTGTGGGAGCTGTGCTGGAGAGACGGATGAGGGCTCTAAACATCCTGGTTAACAAGGCGAAGCAACAGGCTCCTATCACTGCGCTGCCAAACGGAACGTTTCAAGAGATCCTTTGTTCCTTCGGCTGTCAGACTGTACAACAAACCTGGATGAGTCTTCTGCTGGGCACCTGAAGTTCTCTTACGGGGATCAATAAAGTATCTATCTATCTATCTACGTATCGTTACTGGTTCCATATGCTGTTGTCCACCTGCTTTCTACCGGTTTGCTGAGTCATTGGGACAGAATACACAAACTGTCCAACAACAATTTCCTTTATTGTCCCCTTAAGTCCTATTGAAATCACATCAGAGCCTGTTCCCTCTTAGTATCTCCGTAATGAATGCTGTTTTTATGCATTTTTGTATGTCCGTCCAAATACTCAAGTGGCGGCGGACTCTATATCCATTTGAATGTATGAGAGCGCTGGGGCCAGTTTTCTCTCCTGTCGCACTGAAATGAAACGGTCACCCATTTTATTTTCAAAAAGCCGCCAAATGCACATCCACAAAAACTCCATTAGACTGAATTGAGGCGCTTATGAACGACAAAAGGCCATCACAATCCTCTTTGTCAATAAGGATGTGACGCAGGAGGATGGAGGGTTTTCACGGCCGTATAAAGCACGGCTCTCATCTGTCGCTATCGTATTCTAAGTCTGGGAGAAGACCATTGATTGGACCTGGCACAATCCACTCACTCAAAATCATTACCCGCCCCTCTCACAAGCTTCTTCCACACTGCAGTTGTTTTCCCAAGAGCCGAATTTCTCAGTTTGACATTGCACAACATATTGAAGAAACCAAAACTGACCCCCGCTAGCTCCCCTCGATGTATAGATTAGATATTAATATATCTTCAAATGTCCCTGAATTCGGTTTAAAAAGCAAGGGATTGTCACACATTTAGACTCTTCAACGTTTCTCTTTGAGTCAATCAAAATGCTGTATTCTTTCTGAGGTCTGACCTTCCTTGACCTCAGTTTACTTTGTGTACATGATGTAAAATCAGCTGAAAATGATATTTTACTCAAAGATAGCTGCCCTGGGGTAGACTGACGGAAGCTGTGCCACCAACCATAAACTTGACCCCAATAGTGAACCTGATCCCTAATCCTAGCCCAGAGATTGGTTTGGCTATAATTTGACAACTTTGACATTGATCCTGGACTCTTCATTTCTTAGTCATAATAGATAAACCATTGCGTTTTCCCATATTTGTTTGTCCTGAAGTATGAGGCCACACTGCTTCACACAGAGTTCAGTGTGAGGCGCTCTGCGTGTGTTCCTCACTGTTGTCTCATGAATGCGATTAGACGCCTGTGTTGTTCCACAAACAGCGCAGCAGCAGACGCCGCTCCGGGTTCACAGGAGCAGACCATTCCCCGTCTGTGGGAACAGCTGGCTCGCTGACTCTTTATATTGCATCACTTTGAGCAAGTTCATTTTAAACCTTTTCTAGACACGTTGTTTAACTTTAAATGAAACATGAAAAATTTGATTGGAGAGTTACCACACAAAAAAGATCTGCTTTGCTTTTAATACTTGAGCTTTGTATTGGTCCAATGGGATATTGAGATCAACCTCATTTGCTGTTGTTACGGGTACAGTTGCATGTACCAAACTAGACTTTACGGTTATACCAAGGCCTTCATTGTTTTCTTTAGGGAAAGTTTGCTTATAACTCTTTTTTGGATATTTTAATTAATTAATAATTGTTTGCAGCATTTACTTTATGTAGGTATTTTTAGTTTTAGATTTTTCGGAACAAAATAGAAATCGACAAAAAGGAATAAAGCACATTGATAATTAGCTAGGGCCACTTTAGTTCATCAGACTTGACCTGGGGCCGACAACCTGGATTTAAAAACTGGATTCTGGAATTTTAAAACCGTCATGATACGTCCTCATTGATTTACACCACAGCTGCATTTTATTTGTATTGTTGTGACACAATCATAAAACAAATGTCAGTATATAACAATAGGGTCAACGACTGGATTCCAGAGTGTCTCAGATTTACAAAGAGGCAACAATAGCATGCCTATTGGTGGAGCTGAAGTTGGTTGGATGACACTGTCAAAGTGTCTCAATGGTGACTTTGTGTTAGCAGCAGAAGGGCCACATAAAATGGCACAGCGGGCCTGAGTTTGGATCATAGACTGTATACTGTATATTAACAGACGTAGTCACGCCTATCTTTGCCGTTCTAACTAATGGGCCAAAAATTGAGCTTTCATGGAGTGATTCAAAATGGCAGCGGGGGCTGAAAAAAATATGAAGAAAAAAATCACATCTGCGCATGCGTCAGCCGGCACGAGACCCATTCATTGAAACGATTGACTTCAAAAATTCACAGCGACTAAACTAGAGTGGTCCAAATAAATTCACTCCCCTCAGCATTGACACACATGTGGAACGGAGCTTTGGGCCAAGAGCCAACTTTTGGACCATCCTGTAAAGCATGCTTGCAATACCACCCCCATCGGCCCGGGGTGGTATTGCAAGCATGTCAGCGCACGTCATTTTGTCCACTTTTGAGCTGGGACCCGCCCCCACTGGTTTGGACTTATATACAGTCTATGGTTTGGACATGCAGACATTTGACAGTAAGAGGTTAGAGGCTCTAACCTCTTACTGTCAAATTTTTCAAATGTTTGCTCTAACTTAGAGCAAGCAAGTTTTGAAAATGAATTCAAGTACCCCAAGAAATACCACCACGTACCCCGGTTGGGAAATGTTAATAATAAGCCGACTAATAAATTATCAAAATATTTGTTAATTACAGTCCTAATTTAATACATCGGCCTAATATAGCGCTTTTCAAAACGCTGAAAGACTCTTCTCATGGCAATAATACTATAATGGTGTACATGATGAATAGAAGAATGCGCTGAATGTTACGATAAAACTAGTGTAAGCATTGGTTTATTTCCATAGAAAAATAAATGTACTTCTATTTTCCAAATGTGAAAGTATCCTTAGCATGTTGCATATAACCATTGTGTGCGTCTGTGTCCCACAGCTGCGTATGCATGCAAAGGCCGCTGGCTCATGCCCCTGGGCGAGGTGCTTTCGGAGAACCCGGACTTCCCGCTGAGCATCCCCATGAAGTCCAAGAGGGCGCCCCCGCTGCCCCCTACCCCGGGCCCCCACATGTGCGCGCTGCTGCTGGACATGCTGGCCGTGGACCCTTTCTCCAGACCACGCGCCGACCAGCTGGAGTCCCGGGTGCACGCCGCTCTCAGACAGGACGCCCACTGTGCCTGAGCGACGCTAATGGCTCCACAGACCCCAGCCGTGACACACAACGTTCAGGAGGTCGGGAATAAAGGAGAAAAGCACAGGGCTTGTTTTTGTTGCGGTTAAACGAGCTGTGATCAGGCTTGTGTGCTCATGTAATCTATCTGCATAAACATTTAAGGGAATGTTAGGTAAAAAGATACTTGAATTGATACAGTGGGCATTAAAAAGCTGCTAAAGAATTGAATCAATAAACAAAAGACCCCATTGAGACCAATACACTGAATACCCACTGCTTGTGTAACGATTTGTAATAGCTGCTTTACCGGTGAACTATTGTTTAGAGTAATCGCCGGACTGAGCAAGACTTCAACAGTCTACTACAGTAGTTGTTAGTAGTAACTATTGCACTATAAATACCCACCTTTTAACTTTTAAAAATAACTATGCTTGGGGAAAGAATCCAGTAAATAAAGGGTATTTATGTTGTTTTTTCTGAAACCAAAAATGTATTCATGCAGTATGGGGAATTGCACTCTTACACTTCAGTCAACCTATGAAGAATATGTATTATCTGTGAATGCGGAAAACTAGAAGAAATGGTCTTAGGCGTTTTTTTGTATACGTTAAACTTGTGTCTTTTATCCCTCAATGTAAGTAACTGGAGGTTAGCAGTCTGCTGGAGCAAGGAGTGACGGATGGTGGTTTTTACGGCACAATCTCACAACAACAGGAAATTAAAGCCAGTGTTAGTTTTGAGACGTTCAGCTGTGAATCTGCAGTGAGTTGCTGCACATCACTTTCAGTTTGCCATTAATGTAACGTAACAGTAACCTTCTCAGCAAGAATCCTGGTTGGAACAGGGGCTTTCGGAGTGAAGTTTGCATATTCTCCCGTGTCTGTGTTCGTTTCCACTGGTTTCCCTTCCCACCAAAACATGTACAATAGATATAATTGTCCAGCTCTCAACCAAGCAAAGTATCAACATCTGGAGATGGGTCCCCGGGCGCTGCACTGGTGACCACAGCTCCTTTTTTTAGGCTGAATGTTGATCCTTTTTTCCAAACTTGACCCTACTTTAGGATCTAAACTAGGGTCTATGTTTAATCACTGTAACCTATGGATAACACAATAGCATTCAGAGTGCCTCAGATCCTTCTAGTTCTTGTTCAGTTGAATATTATAATTATATTCCTGTTCAATTAAAGACTGACTGAAAGATGGTTGTGGTGGGAGCTATTTTTTATTCCTGTGCAGCAATATACCTTTTTTGAATATGGGCTTGAAATAATGAAAAAACTCTTCACTCTGAAATTATAAATGTACAATAACTTTCAAGTTACAGTAAATTCACAATTTTACAAATAAATGTCCCTTTTTTTTACTGTGAGCAGGGCCACAGATTTAACTTGTGTTAAAAATGTTACTTAACCTATAATACTTCAGGGACTTTGGTAACAAAGACTGCAACATTTATCTTTATTAAAAACTTTAAATATTTTGGCCTGTGTGCTAAAACTTTTCAAGCACTCACACTAGTGTGACAAAGCTTTTTTTGTTGAATAGTGTGTGTAAAAGTACAGCCAGATATATATGGAGACAAGTTGAATAGTCCCATATCATCCTGACTGTGAGCAGGTAGAACTGTGGTGACTGCTGCTGTCACATCTGTCTGTGGAGCAGTTGCAGTCAGATTGCCTCAGATTCCAGTTTCTCCACTGGACATCAGTCAAACATTGCAACAGAAAAGTCCAGCGGAGAAGAGGCGTGAGCCAGGGGTGGAAGGACTGGCCTGGATCAAACCCAGTGGGATGAGAGCACCGGAGGTTTCTGTGGTCATTTGAAAGTTTGATATATACTGTACATGTGAAGTATTGTATTTTGTGATTACAAAGAACAATAGGAATATGCAGTTTAATCCAAATTATACCGATTATATAAATGGAAAAGGTTAAGTGATTAACGGATGTTCCAAATTTCCCCTTGTTTTCCCTACTGTAAACGTTTTTTTTTTTCCTAGACCACTCTTTTTTTTTTAAATAATGCTCTATTAGAAAGGTAGCAAGCAGGTCAAGTTGTAGCAGATGTACAAGACATTGAATGAACTGGACAGAGAGACCATCTAATTTACAGCACTGAAAATGCCCCCATTGTGTGGCAGACACAATGGTAGTCTTGGGCAATGTCAATATCTTATTATATATATATCTTATCTAGTTATTATATTTTAATATATCTTGTGAACAAGCGTGACTCTTTTCCTCTGCCTTTGACTCAACTCACTTTACTTTTAGATTAGAGTTGTGGCTTGGTTCTGGATTAGCTTGGAGAAAGAGGGGGCAGGTCTGTTCAATTTTCACAGCTGGTAGCACCAGAGAGCGGGCAGATGAGCGTGGAGAGATGATCCACACTGAACCATGACCGCAACAGTCACGACGCATCCAGGAACTCGTCAGAAGGTCAGTGCTCTAAACCTCACTGCAGCGGTTCTCTTAATGACAGCCTCGTTTCAGTAAATTCATTAGGATGTGTGCGTGTGGGGATGAGGAATCTGCAGTGATGAGGAGGGTCCCATTTATGATGCCGCTGTTGTGAGAACGATATGAATGTAAAACCGGAAAAAAGTATTAATCATCGTTTGGGTATTTTTCCTTTATAATATCTGCAAATTGAAGGAAAATAAAAAAACTTTTGAAAGTAGAACAAGTTCAGTCTTATTAACTAATTTATGAGCCAATCTCTGGGCCAAAAATAAGAGCATTATTAAGCTCCATAATTGATGCCAATCCAACATCAGAAAAAGTTTACTGAGGCATTAGACGACATTGTAAAAAATAAAAATAAACAAATGCTTGAAAAAAATTGCCATCAGGTTAATCAAAGATGTCAGTTGGATTCTCATTGCAAATGAAGACCCATATTTGTTCTTGTCACATTGCTAAATGCACTTGAATCAAGTCAATTCCTGAGTGTACTGCCATGTGTCAAATTTTGCAGTATTTGTGAGAAAACAATGACAAACGTAATTTTGAACGTATTTTGAGCACTCGGCAACACCTCTGGATTCCCTGGAGGAGCTGGAGAAGTGTTTGTGGATAGTGTATATGACTGAACAAAGGGTTTTTTAATTTTTTTTACTGATGATGAAGTTAAATAATTCCCATTTTAATGACTATAATTCTCCTCCGGACACAGGTCAACACATGGTCCTTTGAGGAGCACTTGTTCTTTAAATGCCGGAGCGGTTCCGGTAAGTTAATCAAGCCTCTTCTAATGGAGCCTCACCCAGGTCAAACTGTGTGAGCTTCTCATAGGGCAGTGATGAGAGGTCACCAGAGCTGCCCCCAACACTGATAGAAACATTAACCAAAGCTATGCACGGCTTCAACATTTCCCTTGGAGCTCAACATGTTTGTCACATACAGTTTAATCACAGGTTACGATGCAGTGGGAAATAATACATCTGAGGTACCAGACTCTTTTGTCTTATAAGAAAGAGTGAGTAAAATGTTGTGGTTCCATTTTTCACAAAGTGTTGTCTTCATCTTACATTTTAGAAAGGCCTGTGACTCATCATTTGACGCTTGGCAATCTTATTGGTAAGAAAAGGTGGTCTTTGTAATTTTCCGTCTGAAAAAATTAAGGATATGACAAAATGTGAAAACTAAATCACATTTCTGCATAAAATTGCCAACAAATGTGATCTGATCTGAGGTTGTCATATTTATAGTGAGGATAACATGCAACAAGTCCAGTCCTGACTTGAACCCCATTGAGGTGTTGTGGCGTGACCTTAAAGACTGCGATTCATGCCAGACATCCCAGGAATCGTGACTGAGCAAATGTTTTGTAAAGAGGAATGGTCCAGAATTTATCCTGATCAATGTGCCCGACTCTTCTGCAAGTACAGGAAGCGTCTGGTTGAATTTTTTTGGGGGTCAATGCGGAGGCCAACCAGCAATTCAATGCGACGGTTCAGTTACTTATCCCCACTTGTTACAAAAACAGTCAAACATAAATGTCTGGGAGTTTTTAGGTCTAGCAGAAACACTCTTTTCATCCAAATGATTTTGAGAAAGAGGAGATCATATTTTATGGTGATTTCATGCATAAATTACAAATGCTTCAGATACACGGACCACTGTAGCTGTTTTTATCATGACATGAATGAACAGCTTTCATTCCCTTAATAATAGCGACACATCCGGCTATAATCCAAGGCAGAATTCATTCAACGTTACAAATATTTATTAGAAAACACAACAACATCCTCAAAACAACAAACTAAAAATAAGCAGGATAAACTGGATCGGCCTTGGAAAAACAATTTATGTAAGAATTAATTTCCAGGTCGATAAAGGGATTACACGAGAGCTGCTTGTTGAGGACACTGTTGAGGACGTCTTTGGTTTTCTATTTAACATCAGCGCCAACGGTGACTGTCTTTTATAAACACAGAATACACTAATTATTTATTTATTATACCATTTATTATCTAACTTTTCTCACAATTCTGCATTAAATTTCCAAGCAAGAGCTACAGACAATAAATGGGGCAAGTCACTCAATCCTTCTGGTTTTTATGAATATTTGAATTTATGAATCCAAATATGTGGTATGAGAACTAAATGTGCCTAAAGATATAACTTAAAGGCCCATGTACTAAATAAAATAAAATAAAAATAACCCTTAATAATCAAAAACAATAATCACTGTACTGGGCATTTATTATTTGTCTGCCTGCATTGTTTCCCAATGACATTAAAGCTGGGGTGTCTAACTTTTTTTAACAGATAATACATGTTCTTCCTTCCAACACAAGTCCAACGCAAATAATCTTGTTAAAAAACTTTTTATCTACTTTAGCTTTGGGCTGAGGATTGAGTGACGCTGAGAGTGGTGCTCTCGTTTTTCACTTTTCGGTCTGAGAAAAAAGGATGTGATGGATTCCAAAGATACATCCATGCTCTCAATTTGGTTCTAGACTGATTTTATTACAGAGATTCATTGATTGTGGTTTATAAATTAGGTACCCCAGCTTTAAATTGCACTATTTCCATGGCAACAACTATGTAGCTCAGCAAGGCACCGGGAACAGTAAGAATGTCTTTATAATTAGATCATTTTTATAATAATAAAAGCATCTTATATATAAAAACAGATAAAGTAAGCCGACCCTCCCACCCTAAAAATATGTTCCATAGTGCAGCTTTATATCTGCCCCAATCTGTTGACTAGAACATCTGACTCCTTCACAAAAAACTTTAAATCCCATTATGAGACTCGTTCGCAGAGGACGAAAGACGCCGAAAACCCTTTTAGCTCCGAGCTGAAACCTTTCATCGGTGACGCAAGCGCAGATCTGTAGTACTTTTCAAAACACGATGCCGTAACCATTTCTATTCTGTCTTTGTCGGATGCATCCCACAAAACCCATGCGCTTCCTAAAATAAAACCATGAAGCATTATCGTCATGTCCCATAGAGTCTGACCAACAGCCTCTTTTACGGCCGCTATCAAACGCCGTGTGAACAATGTCCCCCCGTGAATCTGAGTCCAGGTAAATAAATATGATTTGCACATTATTAAAATCCTTCCGCCTCCTCTCTGCAGAGATCCTTGACCATATAAGGGCCTTGCAGCTCGTAGCCCATCTTCCTGTAGTAGTTTCTCGTGCCGACGCCTGAAGGACAAGCAAAGAACATGCAAAAATCATAAGTGGGATGTTTTGAAAGTCATACACAGAGTTATTTGAGTGCAGATCGAACGAATCGCTAGCTGGAAACGAAACCATAGATAAAACTCATTCCTCTCAAAACCAATTTTTTTCTAAGTTATTTTGGTACATATTTTGAAAGTTGAAATTTGATTGAGTATACATTTTTTTTAATGAAATTTGAGCCTAAATAAAAGCAGATTTTGGGCTCTGCATTCCCTTAACTTTTTCTTGTAGGGCTCCTCCTGCATGTTGTTCCGGAAAAGCATTATATGAAAAAAGATTTCCCCACTGCGGGACAAATAAAGGATCTCTGATCTCATTTTTTGCGAAAGCTACAGTCTTCCGTAGTTTGACCAAAAACATGTTCCAAAGAATGGGTTTCACATTTTCTTGGAATCATGCAATTTCTTCATTCACAACTAATAAACTCTTACAGGTATATAGGAGGATTTTCCGAAATTTTAGGAAAGAACCGCCCTCTCTGGTTATAACTCTCTGGTCTTAATTGACGAGCAAGTATCTCCAGAATGATTGACAATTGGGGGGTAATTGGGAGTCAATCGTCTTCATGATCCACCCGGAAGTAGAAAATCAGTCAAATGTTCAAACAAAATTGTGTACAAACCTCAACTCAACGAGACAAGATAATAATAAAATACATAAACCGAAACCCATGGTCTGGAGCAGGACTATGCACTCGCTTACATGAAACACACACAATCCCTCATTACAACCAATAGACGCCTGCGTACCTGTGCCACTGTTTGAGAATCATTATTGTATGAGTATTGATTGGCCAGAGGAGAAGTCATGTCTTTTACAGAAAACAATCAGGGCTGAACGGACTGTGATTATCAGTCAATTTCACCTCTCCGCACTCTTATAATAGAGTCTATGCCGTATATACCCGGTAAAGGAAAATAAACCGTGGAACTAAAAGCCAAAGACTGAACGTTTCATTATCTCTGTGCGACCTTTTCAGCGCTAATAAATGTGTTTCCTTTGTGTCTAAGGGACGTTTTATTTCTTTGTGAATTTAGATTTTGTACCTGAAATGACAGCCAGTTTATTGGAGCCGTGTTCCTCTCTGGCAATCCTCTCCGCCTCCTCCATCAGCATCATGCCGAACCCCTACATTACAAAAGGCATTTCAAATTTTCCAATAGACAGGAAAAAAAATAAAGAATAAAAAAGGAAAAATAAATAACGTAAAATATGACCATTAATCAGTTACTTTTCAAATTGTGAAGAGAGAGACAATTTTCTCATGCAAATGTTTCATGATTGGACAAAATGAATTCAAATCCTCGCCCAAATTGGTGTAGTTATTTTCAAATCTTAAGGCAGTGGCGGCCGGCCAATAGAGGGCGCTAGGGCGCCGCCCCACCACTCACAACTTGCCATGTTACCTTGAATAAAACGTTAAAAAAATAATAACATTAAAATATTTCGAAATTTATGTGTGTTTTATTTCAGATGTGGAAGAAATACTTTATAGTTTATGCTGAGTTGGATTGATTAAGCTCATCAGCGTTGTCTGTGTCGGACTGAGGACGTATTTCCGCCTCAGGGCGCAAAAGATTGCGCCCTGAGCCGTCTATGGACTCTCGTTAAAAGTTGTACATGCGCAGTAGCTCCTCTTCAATGCAAGAGATAAGACGATTTGGGGGGCGCAGGAGAAGTGCGCCCTGAGGGGGCGGGATCGCCCGCGACCTGTACTGTCACTGTCTGTGACGTCCGTTTACAGTGATTGACAGGTCAAGCTGTGGGAGTTTGAGACGAACGTAAAGAGACGCAAAATGGAGAACGAGAAAAAGAATAATTCAGTTAGATCACTCAAAACAATACCGTTTGAGAGAAGATCATACCAGGAGAAGGTTGAGGTTAAAGAGCTTGGACCTGATCAGCCAAATATTACCATTAGTCAGCAGTCCAGCGACAGGGGGAGACGGTACACTCGTACTTTTTCCAGGACCTGGTTCAGCGCCAAATCTTGGCTAGCAGCATGTAGCGAGGCTAATGCTTTATTTTGCTTTCCATGCCTCTTGTTTCAAACATCAGGATCTGACCCAGCATGGATCAAGACAGGTATGACTGATCTGAAGCACTTTTTAGAAAAGGCAAAGAAGCATGAGCAGACTGGTATCCACATGCAAAATGCCCTCAAATTAGCTATGTTTGGGAAGATAAATATTTCATCCCAGCTGGATGAAAGCTACAGGGTAGGGATCAGAAAGCACAATGAGGAGGTTGACAAGAATAGGCACATCCTATCAAAAATAATAGACTGTGTCAAATTTTGTGGTGCATTTATATCTAGTCATCATATTCATAGCCCCCCCAGTAGAAAATTCCACCAGCCGCCACTGTCTTAAGGTATAGGAATAATATGTTGGCCTTTTCCTTTTAAATTAAATAAAGAGGTTTTATGACAGGGTTAGGGTTTTATTAGTTTAAGTCTAAAATGATATTCTACAATCAACCTGCAGAGCTTCTAGAAACCGTTGTTCAAGCTGGTATCCGCACTGTAATCCATCTGTAAATACATCACCTCCACATACGGCCTGAACTTATTTTTATCAGCACCTGATGCTGGAACTTGCTGGGGTCGCGGCTGCTGACCGGGACCACGCTTCCGTAAACGTGCAGCTCTCGCACGATGGAGGCGCCACCTTTGAGCTCCGGTCGGAACGTCTGAGGGGAACAGCGGCGCAGGCGCAGGAGTCCGATCAGAATGTCCTGCTCTGGATCCTCGTAGGACAAGAAGGTCTCCCAGCCGCCGTTGGCCACGTAGTCCCTCCTCACCAGCTCCACCTGATGACGAATGGAGCATGTTCAACTTTTGAACAACAGATATTATGCACTGCCTCTGTTATTTTATGTTTTGGCCCATAAACAAATAGCATTTACTTAAAATGTATAAAGGAGGATTTTCTACTTCCGGGTGGATCGTCAAGACTATTGGTCCTCCCAATTGTCAATCATTCTGGTGATACGTGCTTGTCAAATAAGACCAAAGAGTTATATTCAAAGAATGGAGAGGGTGGTTTGGGAAAATCCTCCTATATACCTCCAAGCATTTCATTTTTTAGATTTTTCATTTATTAAAACTGAAGTACCCAACATTGAAACCACATAAAACTCAGCAATAAAATCTATGCCAGTGTCTGTACCAGCCTCACTCTGCCAATCAGCTGGTGGGACCATAGACTCTATATATTAATGGACGTAGTAATGCCCATTTCCGCCGTTCTAACTAATGGGCCAAAAATTGGGCTTTCATGGAGTGATTCAAAATGGCCACGGGGGCTGGAAAATGTGAAAAAACGCATCTGCGCATGCGTCAGCCGGCACGAGCCCCATTCATTTAAACGAGTGACTTCAAAAATTCACAGTGAGTAAACTAGACTGGGCCAAAAAAATTCCCTCCCCTCAGCATTGACACACATGTGGAACGGAGCTTTGGGCCAAGAGCCAACTTTTGGACCATCCTGAAGACCATCCAGGTGTTTTCGAGAGGTCAGAAGATGCTATATGTTAGCATTGGCTAATTCTTATTCCGGGTCCACCCCCATGGGCCATTGTGCCTGATCCTTTTCAGAATTTCACTCCAAACATGGAAAAACCTGCTCCCTTTCAATTAAACTACAGTAAAGACTGCAAAATTACCATGAGATTATCATGACAAGTTTGTAAGTCCTGGGTTTGGTCCTGCTTGCTTCATTTTACCTCCTGTAAATATAAACTCAAGGGGATTGTGGGAAAGAATGTTTATCATCAAGAGAAGTACGCAGTGTAAGCTCCAATGTACGAAAAGTAAAGCAAAGCAATTGAACAAATAAGAAAAACTTAAGAGGAAAAACTTGACATTTGCCTGTGCCAGCGGCTTTGCAAGTATCTCTCCCCATTTTAGACCATTAGGAATATATTTTTGTGCTCACTTTGTGTATAAAATGTCTTATTAACTTTTAACTTTTAATATTTCCCTTCCACAAACCAAAACATAAAAAATAACAATCATATACGTAGTTACCTGGTAAGGCCTGACTTTGTGATGAATCTCCTGAATACCCACTTCTCTTGTTCGCACATCTCTGCACTGTAAACAGAAACATAAGCAATACAGAAATATACAGTATTATGGTTAAAGCTGTGCCAATGAATCTTAATATTTTTGAATGCAACGTTTTGAGTTTTTAAAATTATTATTAGCAAACTATATTAGAAGTTTACAATAGTCATGAGTTTCGAATTCTCGTATAAAAATAATATTGTCCCCCACATCCCAGCGAGCCTTTGTATAGAGGTCTGTGGAGCTTTGTCTGACACATAATGAATTTGTAATTTGTAATTTTGTAATTTTCTTTATTTAGAGAAACAGGGACAGTGTACAATAAACATTAACCCCAAGGGGAGAGATGCATTTGGTGTGCACGGATTCATTTCAGTTCATACAGCGACCTTTACGTCATGAGTGTTTTCCAGGAAGGAGTTCCCAGAGCCTTTTATGAGGTCTATAAATCTCTGTCTAATAAACATATGCATAGTGTGACTGACATAAGGCACATCCATTCTCTGCTCCAATGGCCCCGAGTTGTAAAGGCACCTGTCCTTCCTCTGCAGGGCAATGCAGACTAAAGCAGTTATTTAATAAGAATAAGAATGATCCTTCAACCTGGAATAAACCACAATTTAAGAACCAAATTGAAAAACCAATAAATTAAGACTAAATTAGAAGAGACAAACAAAGGAATGGATGGACGACAAAGAATGAATACTGTCACACCTAAAATCTCTATTTAGATGTTATTTACTTTGATCGATTTATTTGATTATGTGGCTTATATAATTTAAATAGATTTCAGTCATTTCTGACTTTACACAAGAAATTACTACTAATTTCAAAGTTTGACTGGTCAAAGGCCGATGTTTTTTTTTTTTGTATCAGACAATCTCTCCAAGAAACTTTAGCTTGAATTAAGAACATATATTTGTTATTTGGGTATGTTGTTGGTTTTATTTTCCATGCTGTTAGAAACTTCTTGTAACACATACAATAATCTAAAATTCAAATATAATCTGTTCTAAGAAATATAACCAACTCACTTGTATACACATACACAGACTATCAAAGTACAGACTTACTTTTTTTTTGTCAATCACCAATCATTACTTTTGAATCTTCTAAATTATACTTACGGAGAGAATGCTACAAAAAAGTGAAATTTACTTAATAATTTTCTACTTTGAATCTGAAATAATTTCAAGTTTCTGGTAAAAGCAGTTGCATCAGGGGTCTTCAATCCCCTGGTTGGGAAACAATGTGTTCTGGCATAAGGTTCAACTACCCTTTGCTCCATTGGCTTTTACACCTCATTTGCCCTTCTTATACGCAGACTACAGTGGTATTCATTATTTGGCAGGAGGTTCCTGGACTCTCGATGGATCTCGTCCCACTTTGAAATGTGCAGCTCGCAGGTCTCACCTCAGTGCCCAAGTCCTTCATCCGGGCCAAGGCCAGCTCCCTCAGATTACCATGTTCCACGCCAGAGCTCACCAACGGCATGGGGATATCCCTGTAACGCCCAACACACATCGTGAGAGCAAACTCACAGACACCAACTATTCAAACTTTTCATTCTCATCTTCTAAGCGAAATGATCTTTGTCCCATAGTTTTAATGAGTAGCCAAAAAGGAATCATTTATCATTTATATTAATTTATATAATATAACTTCATATTTATAACATTCGTTTACAATGACAATAAAATGGATGTCCATACATTGAAAATGCAACAGACATGAGTGAAATTGCTGAACAGGAGTCTAGTGTAGTAGCTTTTCATAGAGAGTCACAAATTGTTGTGGACATATTTCCTCTCACTTCACATACCTAACCAGGTCAAAATGAGAATATAGCTCTAATGTCATATTCACACAGTTGTGTCAATGCCACAATTCACACCATGTGCAATACACAACTCAAACTATGTGAAATCCAAACTTTTTTTTTTTAAACACCCAGCACTTATAATCATGTAAATGCTAGGCCATTTGAGACTGGCATAAATGGTCCAAGCGTTTCCTGCAGCAGTGGAAACAAATTAGGCCCTGATGGCTGAATCCAGACTTGGGTTGATTACTTACAAAGCCCCAGAGTATAAAGGCAGTGATAGTGAGCACAACTAAACACCAACGCAGTAAACAACAAAACACAGCTGCATCTGAGAATTCAGGATCTCAATAGTAGACATGATTCAAATGGACCAGTGAGCAGGCCTTTACAGTAGTCTAACCTACTGGGGACAAATCCATGGTAAGACTCTCCAAGTCTGTTTTAGACACTTAATTTTTTCTGGCCATGTTTTTTTTAAATGTAAAACTCTGCTAATGTTACTGATTTGATGTGGCTGTAAAATTTTAAGTCTTACTGCCCCAAGATTCGATTCAATTTATTTTTAAACTTTGATAACAGTAGATATCTTGGAGGACATTACAAAGCTGTCGATTTGCCAACACAGATCAGAGAATCAAGCGCAAGAAATGCAACAATAAAAAACACACAGAGCCATTGGTCCATAAGGGGCGAATGAGCAATGTCCATAAATGTCGTTGAATGTTGAATGTCTTGGATCATCATCACTGTTATTCTAAATTCCAAATGTAGGGGCCTGAGATAGTACATTTCCAAAAGTTGTAACACAAACTGACTCACACCTTGGAATTACTCATCGCGGGCAAATAGAAAATTGGCTTTGAAAATGTTTGCACCGTATTAAGCCTGTCGTGCGTCACATACAGTACTAGCTGAGTGTCTTGATGCAGATAGAATGAAGTTACCCAGCTTGATTTTAATTTGATAGTGTTGCCTGGATAGTGTGACAGGTAATATCATATGCTATTTTGGACGGTACTTGCATAAATGAACAGTGAAAAGGTAATAAAGATTAGTCCACAGATAGAGGCAAACAGACGGATTTATTAGTTGTTTTTGAATTTTCTTTTAAATAAAGTTGTGCAGTCCAGCACCATATATATTCCAATATACAGTATATAGTAGCATTCATTTAGCATATTGTGAGATTTTTTTTTGGCCATAGTTCCTTCTCAAACTCACAGCCATCTGCTTTCACCACTTCAAAATACTTTCCTTGTACTTTTTATCTTTATCAGCCAATCTTTTTACACTATCTGCTGTCAACTGAGATATATGAAAGAGGATATTAACTCTCACACAATCAATGACTGATGAGGTGGAAATACATTGCTGGTTTCTCACCTCTGCACCCTGTAGACTCTTGTCCAGGGGGGAACCAGGGCCAGGATTCGAGCCACCAGGTCGACCAGAGCGCTTGGGGAGTAGCTCTTGTAACGTCCAGTCTTCCACAGCTCGTACAGACCTGTCCCGCGGATCACCAGAGTCGGGTATAGCTTCAAGCCGTCTGGTCTAAACGCTGGGTTCTCAAAGAATTCCTGAAAAATAAAGACAAAGTAAGGTATAAACAAAGACAACTCTTTCTTTAATAGTTTCATATTATTAAAGTAAGGCACAATAGCAAAGCACTCTTTACCAGTGCCAATCTAAGATTTAACAGTGTGCAAAATATTTAATGTGGAAGAATCAAATTAGATTAATTACAAAACAAACTTGAGATTACTTGATTAATCAAAGTCAATCATAACTAGAATAATCTACTACTGAAATAATACCGAGAGCTGCAGCCCTAATTGCATGCTTGAGTCAAAATGATACAAGTCAAGTACAATGTCTATAGTTCCACATCAAGCTCAATCTCCAAATTAGCAGCTATTTGTTTTAAGGCTGAAAAACCCCTCATCAAAAACTTTGTACGCTTTTCAAATCACCTAAACTCATGACTGCTGAAATGCGATCGCAGCGATAACACACCTATTAGTTGTAGGTCTGAGTGCTGCCACAGCTGTCAAAAGCTGCGCATACACAGTAAACTAAATCTATAGGGGACACCAAGCTAAGAGACGAGGTTACTGGGAAGTAGTCCTAGAAACTACGGGAAGACAGTTGTCCTATGAACTAATCACTGTGGTGCACACAAAGGCGGTCATGTTATACTATTAGTTATATCATGCTGTTGGAGGCAAATGAGGAACAGTTTGTACAAAAAATTCCCACAAAAAATATGCGAAATAACTGCATTTTAGTAAGGGACCACTGTATTGTAATATTCTATATTTGTTATGTTTTACAGTAGATACAAGGCTTGATACGATGTTAAAACAACATTTTCCGCACCGCGCAAAGGAGGGGGCACTGATGCTCCATCTGCATACAGCCCTGATCAGAAACTAATACTGTGTTACAACCCAATAGTTGAACTCGTAAGGGGAAGAGAAATGTTACAAACAAGACAAAGACGTAAAATAGTTAATTAAAGGGCATTTAATATAACAGGAAACATGGGTAACAAAATGTACGGGACAACTCAGAATCCAAACACAGGGAGTCTTACTTTATATTAAATCAATGAACAAACACAGCCACAGGCTATCAGAATCAATCTAACGTTAGCACGCAGAAACACGTCCTCTCGGACCGGTGGCAGACAAGACAACCAACCCCACACAGGAGCATGTTGCTTGTCCAGGCTGACGATGATTAGCTGCAGAGACAGATTGGCCGGACGTGGAGAGAGAGACCCAGACTAACTGCTGAAATTATTTATATATATATATATATATATAACAGTAGTGCCCGTGGTGATCGGTGCACTCGGGGCAGTGACCCCGAAGCTAGAAGAGTGGTTGCGGCGGATCCCCGGAACAACCTCGGACATCTCGGTCCAGAAATGTGCAGTGCTAGGAACAGCAAAGATAATGCGCAGAACCCTCAAGCTCCCAGGCCTCTGGTAGAGGACCCGAGCTTAGAGAGGGATAACCGCCCGCGGAAGGCCAAAGGTGAGTGGACAATTTTTTTTTATATATATATATATATATATATATATATATATGTTTAATTGCATTATCTATCTCATTGATGTTTAGTGATATTAGATTAATTTTATTAGACATTCAAAAAATGAAAAAGATGTGAATATACATAATATACAGTATAGTTCATATGAGGCACATTTTAATACACTACCAAATTCATTTATAATGTTCAGGCCAACTACCATACCCCGCTCCCATTTCACATTCAAAGTGAAGTCAACTCGCGATGGTTGATTCGCAGCTTTGTGGGATAGAGAAGAGCTCTGTTGATTTCAGCGTCGTTTTATATTTGCTGCCCGCTGCTTGCACACCATTTAACCCATCAAAATTCTATAGCTAACTTTTAATGCTACATGTGCGTAGATGATGTGGAGCAATCTGTGAAACGACCGAGGCAGAGTTGATGTTCTTACAATATCGCTCACAATATGGCTCACTCTGTGGAGGCACTAACAACACTGTGATTTCATTTTTGACATTCAGGAGACGTAGAGCCAAGAGTTGAACAACAGCTTAAGATTTTGTGAAAATTGGCCCAAAAAAATTTGCACAGCTTGTACACCGTTTTACTGATAAAAATTATGTGGATAACTTTAGATGCACATGTGTTTAGATGATGTAGAGAGATTTTGAGCCAAATCTATGAAACCGCAAGGAAGAGTTGTTGTTCAAACAATGTGTGTGAAAAAAGTGTTTTCAAAATTATGGACCTCCTGTTTGCTAAATGCTATAATGACTTTAGTGGCACTATTGCGTCTTTTTTTTAGCTCCAGGTGTAAATTCCCTGTGTAAATGGCCCTTACGCAAGTTCAGCCAAAGGGCCAAAAATTATTTTTTTTAAGAGCAAAAAAAATATAGGTTTGCATGGCACATGATACATCATCTTAAAGCATTTGAGTAAAGCAACTATTTTGGTGAGTGACGAACACAACCTCTTGCATTCCCCCTTGTGAAAGAAAAATGCCCTTACGCCAGTTCAGCGCTCGGGCCTAACAAGATCAGATAGACGCTCATTAGAGATCATACACATACAAAGGATTGAACACAGTTCTACTAATGATTTTGAGTCAAAATGAAAGCTTATTGTCTATCTCTCAATGACACAAGCTCCAATAAGCAGAGTATCTCCCCTGCTTATGGTCTTTAGTGCGAAGAATTGAATGCCACTCGTGTGATTTTGCCTGCCTGCTTCTCGATGAAAAGCAGGATGATTCAGGACGACAGCTCACTCTCCAAAATAGGCTACTTTATTTGTAACTCATAATCCCTTCTTTTCGTCAGGCGCCACAATCCCGCCAGGACCAAACCAAAGGAGACACACTAGAATCTCTATATTCTCTGATGACAGCATTGGGAGATAGTCCAAGATGGCAGCAGGTGCACAATGTAAAAAAGAAATCACTCCCAGCAGTCTGTGAGGAAGAACCTAGCTAAAAAAAAACGCCACCCCTGGGATATAAAGTGCCTGTCCTTAGTAGACAAGTAAGACAGGATCTGGAAATGGAGGGGAAGTTGTAATCGAATTTCATTATCAAGCTGACTGTGATGGACGTGTAGTGCATGTAATATGGTCCTTTTGCTGCCCCTCGCCTGCTGTGAGGACACAACCTCTGAACATTAGGCGCCTAATGAGCTGTGGCTGGACCAAATCGGCTAAGAATACACATGGTTTAAAAGAGGATTTCTGGTAAAAAGTCAATGCCTATCCGGACACCCACCTTGATGTGTAATTTTTTAATGAATATGTTTAGGGCAAACATGGTAAACCCAAATTTTACATTGCATATAGAACGCATTTTATCCTGGAAAATTAACAGCTAAACTAATCATGCATTTTAGAACATGTTCGTAGATCCACAGACATGGCAGCTTTTACACATTTTAAAGCTGGGTTACCCAACATTCAAACAAGCAAGTCATGTTCAAGTAATTGGCCAATGTAATGCAATCCATGAATAGCACATTGTACAGTACAGTTCTTTTGATTAAAAAATTGATTTTAAAAAGTGAAAATGTGATAGGTCCATCTGCTCGGCACATTTTGCGAGTCACTGATAATGTTTTGGGTGTTGCTGGCCTATGGACTGCAGTTGGAAACAGCTGTATAGCTAATTCTGGTCACTGTCACATTCAAACAAACAAATACAAATTTACATGATTTTTCTCTTGATCGGCCGACTATGTGAAAATAAGTTTTATCAATAGTTTTTGTCCTCTTTCACACATATTTTGATCAAATTCTTCCAACAGAAAAGTGAAAAAGAGGACCACCCTCACTCAGCCCATCAGCTCTCAGCCCAAAGCATCAAAAAGAATTTCTTTCTTACCTGTATGCAAAATAATACAGCATGTTTTCTAACAAGATGAAGACAGCAAGTTGAATTCACATTTTACTTTTATAGGACTGAAATGAAACAACTACGCCAGCTTTAAGACAGAATACTTAATGTTTGAAAATATTAAGTTATATGAATTATATCATATGAATAGTTTTAGTGTCGACACTGCCGAGTTACTTTGCCAGATCATGCTTGAACATTTTCAGAGGGTATACAATGTCCCACTCCAATCTACTGGAGGATGTTACAGTACTATCAATGCAACACATGCCAGCATGCAGTAATAATTAATGCAATTTCAGTGAGGACATGCTGAGAACCAATTTGTTGACCACATGTTTGTTTAAAAAATACAGCTCTGTGGATTTGATATCACAACACAAAAAGGGCCTTTGGAGAGAAGGGGGCAGGATGGCTAAAACTCTCCAAAAGTCTGGAAAAGTACCAGCCTGTTTACTTTTTGCATCGTGACAGCCCAATGCCTTTGTATTTTATTTAATCAACTTATTAGATAAAAAACTATGCCGATTCCTTTGTTTTCTTTAGCCTATTGCAAATCTGAAAAACTGTTGCAATACTTAGTTTAGTTCCTGTTGAGACAATGATTTTTAAAGCCGTGCATAATTTCGGCCCTCTCTCACTAGAAAGAGGTCTGTCATGGAAGATTAGATATGATGAGAGGAAGCAAAGGGGGGCTATCTTGTGGAAGTGTCAGAGCGATAAGGGAAGAGGGAGGCATTGGGGAGGGCTCTGTGATTGGAAACCACAGCAAAGGGAGATACGTATAAGTGACGGTGTGAACTGTGAGGGCTGACGCGCAGCGAGGGGGAAACTTATGGCACACGGCAAATAGGATGGAGAACACGCATTTTAGGGGGTACATAAAAACCTCTTTTATAATAAAATGATCAATCATTTGGCATATTGTGAGGGCAGGAAATATATTGAATTCAGGCAAGTGTTCTAGATTGTTGGGCGGGTGGCACGCAAGAAGGGGAATTTCTGTGCACATTCTCCTCGTCTGTGTAGTTTTCCTTCGGTTGCTTCAATTTAACCTACCACTAAAACATGTTCAGTGTGAATGTTTGAGGTAAAGGTATCTTCACTGCAATTCTCGTATCAATCCAAAATGTATAATAAAATAATAGTCTGGCACTCCCGGTC